GTTTAATTTGCCTACTATTTAGTGATCTTAAATATCATACCTAAGAGTTGTTAGGTATTACGCATAAGATTTGATTGTTCACACAATCATGTATTATGAAATTCTCAAATTATATTATAGAATAATTGAATGGTAGCCTCAAAGAGCTTACAAATATAGTTATAGGGTGTTAAAGAAGTTTCGAATAGATTAGAAAATTATAAAATTAGTAAGATTAAGAGTATTACTCTTTAATAAAATAAGAAACTCGTACTAATTAGATTATGGATACTACTTATAACAAAATAAGAATACTAATACTAAAAGATTAGGAAAACTAACATAAACTAGAAAAGATAAAAATAACTTAAACTATTCCCATATAGCACCATTAGTTTTTCCTGGGTGGGAAAAACTTGGCTCTGTCGAATTGAAATCATAGAATGTGGCATGCACAGCAGGATGTATCTCTTGTGCTTAGCTTCTGTGATCCAAGTACAATCAATATAAGGATGTCCCTTCCACTTCCCTTAGAAACTTGTGACAAATACCACTCCCTATAATTATTTCTTTATAGTTAATAATATCTTCTATCTTGTCCTAGAACTTTGTAGTGACTAGTAAATGAATAGGAACATAATTATGAGAAACAGTAGCTTCACATCCTTAATATGGGATTAGATCTTCAACATTGAAGACCTTATGCCCATATCTTCCAACAAGTCAAAAACATAAGTGTTTGAGCTAATCTTCTTAAGAATTTTGTAAGGTTCAATATTCTTGGGGTGGAGTTTCTTGTAAGCTCTCTTAGGAACCTTCCAAACTTGGTGTACCATAATCTTATCACCTCTATTAAAATCAGCAAGTGTTATTTTTAAGTCAGCAAAGGTCGTAAACACTTCATTGCTTAAATAATTCATCATCTAGCCTATGTATGAATATCATGCATATGTTTAGCAAACTCTCTTGCCTATGATAGGACGAGCTTGCAGGGTAAAGGAACCACATAAGAAGCTTTCTTAACAAAAAATGGAGTTGTTTTTTTTTTAGCTTAGCCACTAGTAAAATTTGCAGTCTTCCTAATCTTAAAGTTTTTGATATCTTTTGTCCTCATGGGTCACAAGGGAGCATCTCTTTTTTCCCATAAAAAATGTGTTTTCTCTCTCACTAGAGGTTACATTTCGATCATAGAACTAAGAGCGACCAAGAAGGATATGAGTTACTTTTACGAGAACGAGGTCAGGTAAGATAGTGTCTATGTACTTACAAAATGGAAAGGGACGGGGCATTCTCGAGTTACTAGAATTGTTTTCATCAATTCTTACTACCTTGTATGGTTGTGGATGTAGTTTTGTGGGAAGTTTGAGATGCTCTATGATTGAGACAGACGCGACATTCATGCGACTTCCACCATCAATAACAACCTTTTTGGCTTTAGGCCCACAATTTACTACAGTTGGAATATTGTAGGGGCAATGCCAATCATCTTCCTCAACCTTAGATGTTGCAAGGATGCCCCTAACTATGGACACAAAGGAACTGTCCACGCGGCAATTATTGTCATTAAAAAAGCATCATTTTCCCTATTTGTTATGTTTCCTCCTATTCCAATATGTAAGTTTTTTTCTTTGAGCATTCTCCTCCATAGGAGGTACAGATTTTTCTGCTCAAAATCTGTTAACTTGTCACAAAACTAACCATAGTTCTTCACAAGTCAATGAATTTAAAAAATTTCTATGTTTTTCTCCTCTTCATCTAATAAAGTATCATGTCCATAATATATATTAGCCTTCATAAGATATTAAAACTTCATAATTTACAGTGAGCTTTCATTTATTTATTGACAATTGTAAAAGAATGTATAATGGAAAACAATGTGACAATCATGTGTGTGTGGGTCACTAAAGTAGCAAATAAACCTATTTTGCGTATTAGTGAAGCCTCAAATATTATATTTATCAGAATAAATCACATAATTGTGTTTTGAAATAGGCCAAACCACAAGGCCGAGGGGTATAACTGTAATTTTACCTAAGCAAATTGATATTATATGCATCTTATGTCACCTAATGGTATATACCACTTCATATTTACTATTGAGCTGCCAGATCAAGTTTTAATTGTGTTATTATTATTGTATAGGTCCCTGAAATGTGCCTGATTAGTACTTTCATTAACCTCAATACGGGAGTACTATTTGTAGAGTCACCACATTGCAAAATGAACTTGCAGATCAAGATAATTTCAGATTCTCATGATGGCGAGAAGGAAGAAATTGATTTGAATTCACGAAGGTGTGTTATTAAAAATACTTTCTAATATTTCATTTTCTTTTTTATTAGAGGATGCACCGTTTAGATCCTTAGTGGAATCAAGAAAGTACTTTTGTATGCCACTGGTTCTGCTCCTAGTTAAATAGTTATTTTTTAGAACTATTTACTTATCCGTTGTTGGGTCAAATCTAAAGTGCAGATTTCATAGTTCTATGTGACAATATAGACCATGAAATGTGTTTGTTAAGAATGACTTGATGTTTTTTCTGTTAAATATCACAACTCTCTATATAGAGGTTTTATAGAGTAAAAACAAAATATATAATTAATTACATAGAGTGCATTTTACTCTTATACTCTTTAACCTAATCTTTATAAAATACACTTTCTTTAACACTTTTCTTTAAGGCGGGCAATAAGTATTGTACATCCTCAGCTTGCCAATGAGAGCTTGAAATGTTGGACTATTCATGTGTTTACTCAACACATCTCCGAACCATGAACTAGTAGGCATGTATGGAATACATATCAGGTCACTGTCAAGTTTTGATTCATAAATATCTATCTAACCTCGATATGCTTTGTCTAGTCATATTACATTAGATTGTTCGGAATGCTTATGGTTGACTTCTTCTCACAGTATAAATCATGAGACTCTCACTTGATCATTAGATTTTCTAAAATTTTTCTTATCTATAGTAGCTTACATACCATTTTACAATTGTTTGGAATTCAGAGTCTACACTTGATATAATAACTACGTTTTGTTTTTCATTCCTAGAAGTAATTAGGTTTCCCTTAATGGAGGTATAGTAATCTGTAGTAAATCTTTTGCCCACAACCAACCCTACATAATCTGCATTCGTATAAGTTTCTAGAAATAGTCTATTAGTCTTTTCATATAGAATTTGTTTCCCATATGACATTTTTAGGTAATGCAGTACTCTATAGGCTGCTTGTAAGTGCACTTCTTTTGGATTGTGCATAAACTAATTTGTAACATTTACTGCATAGGCGATGTCCAGTCTTGTATATGACAGATATATTAATTTCCCAACTAATCTCTAGTATATTTTTTTATCTACTGATGTTTATTTTTCTAACACTCATAATTTATGATTGGGAACAATACGAGTATTAATTGTTTTACATACTAGTTTGTCAATATTTTTCAACAGGTTATGAATGTTTTTCTATTGAGAAATGAAGATCCTGAATTTTAAGTGGACAACTTCAATTACAAAGAAACATTTCAACCTTTCTAATTCCTTGATTTCGAATTCCCTTGCCATGCATTATGTTAGCACTCATTCTCTTTCTCATCATCTCCTGTTACAATACTAGATGTGTAACTCTCCTGATCCATGGTGCTTGATAAATAGAGTATGGTCTCCCTGAGCTTGTTTATAACCCAAGCTTATCATCACCATTGCAAATTTGTCAAACCGTGCTCTCATTAGTTACTTGAGTTTATAGAGTGTCTTTTTTAATTTATACAATTTGTTTGGTTCTGCGTCTCCAGCAACACCTGGTAGGATTTCTATGTAAATCTCTTCTTCAAAGTTTTCCAACCAACTACTATTCTACAAGTCATTAAGAGTCCTTACTCTTCTACAGTTTATGGAAGGCGATCTTGAAGAGCCCTTACTCTTTTATAACTCATGTAAGCCAATTTTTGAAGAGTCCTTACTCTTCCACATTCATGGAAGCTGATCTTGAGGAGTCGTTACCCTTCTACAAGTCGTGGAAGCCAACCTTGAAGATCGTTTATCCTACAAGGTCATGGCCAAATGTAGGACTCTTCTACAAGCAAATTATTCTTCTTAATTAAAGAATATTTTCCGATCACCCTTCTTAAAGAATTCTTATCATGTGTAATATGTCATGTGGAAATTATGATTTAATTAAGATTCCTTATCCTTATCACATAGAAGAATCTTCTTGAAAGAGTTCTTATACCATCTAAGCATAAGAATTGTTGCTAATTTTGAATCCGACTTTAAGTAATCTTTTCTTATTAGGACTCTTGTTATATTCTCTTACAAATAGACCGTCTTGTATGTATCTTTCATCATTCAATGAATCAATAAAGCTATTCCAAACGTGGCTAATGGCTAGCTTGTTACTAAGGTTTCTTCGACCTTCTTGTTGTATCAAGAATTGATTTCAATTTATCAAAGTATTGTTGTGGCGTTTTACAATTCTTTTTTTTTCATCTCAATTAATTTAGTTCCAATCACAAGTTGATTATGGGTCAAGTAGGAAGAGTTTATTTAGGAATTAAATTTTAATACTAACTATGGATGTGTGAGTTTAGGTTGCAAATTGACCATGGATTTTGCATCAAATTGATATCAGAGCTTAGCCACTAGATAAATCTCAATTTATCTTGCTTATCTTATATTCTTTTTATCCTAACCAATTCTAAATTCAGTATATCCTAGTTTTTGTTCAATTGGACTCTTGTTTCAAATTTGGTATATCCAAACTAATTTAAGGACAAATATTTTTGAGGAAGGGGGAATGATGGAGATCAAGACACAAATTATATAAAGCACATGGGCCACATGGAGGCGAGCCACAGGAGCCACATGGGCCACATGGGCCACATGGAGATGAGCATAGGATGGACATAAGTCAAGATGCACTTGGGCTACATGGGCAAAATATTATTATACTGTAAGCCAATCACAAGATCATGGCGCAGACTCGAACAATCATTTTGAAACTTATGATCAAGAATGGATCAATGAAGACGAACGCTTGGGTTGAATTTAGAGGGTCATGAAAGATTGTGGCCAAATTCATCAAGTCATTCGGAGACGGCCTACACTCTTATACAGTCATGAAGAGTCCTTACTCTTGAGAGTCCTTACTCTTCCATAACTCATGAAGCTGATTTTGAAGAGTCTTACTCTTCTACAATTCATGGAAGCTGATCTTGAAGATTTCTTACTCTTCTACTTCTACAAAGCTTGTCAATCACTCTTTTTAAAGAATTCTTATCATGTGTAATATGTCATGTGAAAAATTATGATATAATTAAGAGTCCTTATCCTTATCACATAGAAGTATCTTCTTAAAAGAGTTCTTATGCCACTTAAGGATAAGCATTGTTACTAATTTGAAGTCCTACTTTAAGTAGTCTTTTCCTACAAGGACTCTTGTTGTATTCTCCTATAAATAAACCTTCTTGTAAGTAATTTTAATTATTTAATAAATCAATAAAGTTATTCTAAATGTAGTTGATGGCTAGCTTGCTACTTGTGAGGTTTCTTCAACCTTCTTGTTGCATTAAGAATTAATTTCAACTCATTAAGGTATTCTTGTGGCGTTTTAATCAATTTATTTTCTTTCATCCTAATTATCTTAATTCCAATCACGAGTTGATTGTGGATTAAATAGGTTGAGTTTATTTAGGGATTAATTTTAATATTAATTATGTATATTTGGGTTCGAACTGTAAGTTAATCATAAGTTCCGCATCATACATTTCCATACTCATAACATTTTTTCTTTTTTTCATAAGATAATAACTCGTGTATAATATTAGGGACATATTCAGCATCCTAAATTAAAATTTTTATGGAATAGTGAATATTTATCAAATGGCATAAACTATGAGATAAGATAAAGAGGACGTTTAGTGCATTACCTAGTACTTTTATAAAATGCAATAGGTATATCATTATCTAACTAAGTAGGTTTTTCGGGACTTAACTCAGTTCCAGAATCAAGGTTTTTAGATGCTTGGACCGACTTAGGCTTGAAACTTGAATACTTCCTCCTCCTATACACTTGAGTGAATCTAAAATTCACGTAGGTTCTAAGGGCTCTCTTGTGGCAGTAATGTTGGAGTGTGTCGCAAAAATAATATGGTAAAATTTTTTTAAAAAATCTGTATCATTATCTTCTAATATAAGCTTCCTTTGAAGATAAGGTTAGTTGAAATATAATTTTTGTTCATCCTTGCATATGTAAGTTTTATGTTGGTGGGTGGTAGCATTTGTAGCTCTTTTGAGATAAGGAGGACCACACAAATAGACATTTCATGACCTTCGAGATTAAGTTTTCTTATTTGATGGGAATGAATATGAAGAAAAACAACACATTTGAATATCTTAGAGATTAGATGGTATGTGACACTATTTTCTGAGTAAAACTTGGAGAATGTTTTTAGAGGGTTTTTAAAGTGTAGGAAACTGGAGAGTTAGCAGTTAATAATGTAGGTAGCTGTAAGCATGAGTTTGTCCTAATATTATTCTGGAATGTTGTTCTGAAAAAGGAAAGCTCTAGTGGTGGGTTAAAAAATGACTATTCTTCTGTTACACTATATTTTGTATTGTGGAGAGTAAATGCAAGATGATTCATGAAGAATCCCTTTTTGATGGAGGAATGATGAATGTGTTAATTGAAAAATTCTTTGGTGTTGTCAATCCGGAATCTTTTTATACAAGTTCCAAATTAAGTTTTTATAATGTTGTAGAACTAAGTTATGATATGGTTAACATTAGATTTGATTTTAAGTTTGAAAAATCATATGACTCTAATGCAACACAGTAGATGACACAAACTATCAAGCCCATAAATACTACATGTAGTCCCTAAATAAAAGTGAACTAAACTTTTTTATTGTTAGAATTATTATACACTTATGTTTGGCAAACTCACGTATATCGCAATGTACATTTTCATATTCTAAATTCTTAAAATAATAAGAAAAATAGAACAAAGGCATTCATGGACGGAGAAAATATATAGACCTTATCGCACCTACTATCTTTTGGGTTATTTAGAATGAGAAGAATAAAAGAGCCTTTGAAGGGGTTGATGATGTAGGGGATTTTGAGAAGATTAGGAATAAATGGTTGCAGACTCTTGGTTTCGTGATTTTGGGGTCATTCTCTTTATTCTATGGAGGGTTTGGGGATTTTGTTGATATTTTGTTAGATTTGTAAATAATTTATACACGGGTTGGCACCTTTGTTACTACAATTTTGTTTTTTCTATTTAAGAAAAAA